AGTTATACAACACCTGACTGAGAAAGGGCACCAAATTACATTTCAGTGGTTGCCCAGTCACTGCAGAATCATCGGCAATGAACGGGCCGATCAAGCTGCCCGCTCAGCCCACACAGAAGATCATAAACTACGACTACCACTTTCTAGGACAGATGCTGCACGAAAGCTCCGCAGGCTTGCTCGCCAGCAAACCACATCACAATGGAATCAGTCCACACTTCAAGCATGATCCGACTGTACTCGCTTGATCCCTACGCTAAGTCTTCAAGTCCCGTCGAGGCTTTGCCGAGCAGACCAGACCCTGTTATGTAGGCTGTGGTTGGGCGTTGCGTTTACCAACGCCTACGCTTTCCGCATTGGGATGGCCGGCACCGCAGCCTGTGGCCACTGTGGCAAAGAGGAAACAATCCAACATATTCTTTGTAACTGTCTAGCGTATAGTAAACAACGACTATGCCTTCGCAAGGAACTCAACAAATTAGATGATCAACCTCTGTCGAAGCAGGGAATTCTGCAGTATCGACAGGATGCGACTTCACAGAAGAGGGCCCTGAAAGCGCTACTACACTTTTTGCGATCGACCGGCCTTACTGAAGGGTTGTAGCTAGGACGCCCTTCCTGTGTGTGTTTTCGTTTTCTTATGAGTGCGCGTGCGTTTTTTTTTCTCTATCTACACCCTTTTTCTTGCCCCTACTTCCCCGCCCCCAGCGCTAAGTAGCAAACCGGAGGCCAATATCTGGTTAACCTCGCGGCCTTTCCTTTCTCACTCTCTCTCTCTGATCTCTAATCCAAACTGATCACCAATATCAGCTAATCACGGAAGCCGGTGGAGCGTAGATCGCGTAGATGTATTCTGATATGTAGAGTAGCAAGATACTCTGAGAACAAAATAAAAATGACGAGTTTGCCGGCTTTGGCACGGTCTTACTGTTGTAAATTGCAATAGGTTGGCAGTGTTAATTTCTTTGCCTAGACTACGGTCGAACGTTTTTAGGTTAGCGTAAATCAAATTGGTGAAAGCTAGTCCGCATATCGCGTTAAAGTTTTTTTGCAACAGGGCCACAATAACCAAAATCGTGTAGGAGAGCTATACTCGAATTTTCCGCGCGAAGTCTACAGCGAGGCCCATTGTCTTTGCAGATCACTCGTGGACGAAATCCAGGGTAGCGACACCACACTGCAGGAACAGCTTCGCGTGCTCGGTACCCATAGAAAGTGGTGCTAGGTCGTCCCTGCTAGGGCTGATCGAAGAGCGTACCGCAGCGCTATCTGAAGGTACGTTCTGCCCTTGCAGCAGGCTGCGATGCTTTTCGCATCATGCATAAATATACTTGGGAGAGATGCTCCGAAAAGCAAGTCGTCATTGGTCATATAGTTAAGGAGAAAAACGGTTAAACATGTTTGATGCTTCCCGGTGTGTTCCTTTGTGTGTGTGTGCGCGCGTGTGTGTGCATGTAACTCCCAGCAAATTGCCTTCGTACAAGTGGAGCTAAAGAAACGGTAGAAGCGCATCGCTTTGTACAAGCTGCCTATGTCAGTATTGTGCGGACTGACGGGTCTCGGGTGCCAGCGTACGCAGCAATCTGTCAACCAAAAGAAAGCAAATGTAACCACGTTTCACTTTCAATTAGGAGTGCGAACGCAACTTTGGTTTGCTTTACGCCTTAGCACAAGAGAGGGGGGCACGTGATGGTATAGCCTGGTGGCGTGGTAAACAATGTCAGACGTCGTCACGAATGAGCAATGTCGCACCTAATGGTCCACTGGGCAAACCGGGCTTGAGCAATAACGAGAGTTGTCCCTGCACACGCCGGAACTTTCAAGACGTAGCTCTGCAGCGACGTGTCACCGGATATACTATCGCCAAAAACAATGTACCATCAAGGAACTGGAAGGGCGAAAGAGAATACTAGCTTAGATTAACGCTGAGCTTATTTGAGAAGTTCCGAGCCGCAAGCCAATCGTGACTTGGGCGTTTCGAGCAAATTAACGCCGCACCGTCGCTGCACAGACACGACGTCCTGACAACGAGCTGGAGCGCATCCCAGTGCCATTGAGCTCCCAACGACTGGTGCTCCCTCGATCGGCAACGCCATTGTTACGAAAGAGGAGCCCCAGACAACGGGACTCCTCCACGCCCGCCTACCGGCTCCCGACATGGAGCGCCGTTCCCAGCGCATGCGTTTCCCGGGAAAAAGTGCTCGAACTGTATCAACAAGTGCTGTCGTCGGCCCTCCCCCGCGCGTCCGGGAGCCAGTGTCCACCCACCAACGAGGCCGCGAGCAGTGCCATAGGGTAGCCTTCCCCCGCAGTCGCTAAGAGAGCTCTCTCCTGAAGAGAGAACGGAAGGGAGAAGGGACACTCGAAGGCCAGAAAAGGACGGCAAGGGTGAAATTGGGAGAAAGAGAACGGCTGGGCTTGGACCGCGAGCACGGAGGAGAGGAAGGGACTCGGAGTCCGAGACCGAGCAGGGCGGCAGCCCGTGAGGAGGAGGGCACGGGACCGCCTTCTCCTCTCCTCTTCGACATCCGCTCAGCTCGACTTTTTTTTCTTCCCCTTCTCTCTCCGAAGGCGAACCGCTGGTTCGATTTTTCCGAAACCTAGCGTAGAGAGTCCAAACACCGAGAAGCTTCGAGTCCGGAGCCGGCGTTCGAGGTTCGCCGCAGAAGCCCTGGTGCCGAACGCCACCAGCGGAGCGTGTGCGTATACGCGCGCCGCAGGCGCGCGCTTGGCGCCGACACCCACGCGCACCCAGAGGATTGTTGTTCTTGGTGCGAGCATCACACGGCCATGTCAAAGCGGCCTGTCTGCGCCTGTGTCGTCGTCGCCTCCACGGCTCAACCATTCTACTAAACCTCGACGGCGTCGAGAGTTTCAACACTCTCCACCGGAGCAGCAGAAACAGGGACGGCAGCATCACGGCTTTTCTGACGTGCAGTGTTTTCCCGAAGTGACGTTTCCTCGTTGAAATCCTCGCCGTCACTCCGAAGCGCCATTGGGACAGCTGTCACTCCACGGCGAAACGTGTTGATGTGATCAGTGTGTTCCGTGAGGCGCACCTCTCTCTCATCGCTGTTCTTTCTTGGGCGCTTCTGAAAGCGACTGCTGACATTCGGACTGGAGCTCCTCAGCTTTGATCTATCAACGCCGCCCTCACCTCTGGCACCATCCATTGCGCTTCCAGCTTTAGAGACGTTCAGCAGTTCGCGTCGCTTCTGCACGGTCTAAGCGAAGCGGAAGCGGCGCGGTTTACTTTTTTGTGCCGAGTAAGCAGCCGTCGCTGGCTCGGCTGGCACGCCGCTTTTTCATCTTCCTCAAACAGCGCTGCGCCGAAACTACTATCGCATCACGTTCTAGTTGCCGTCTCCTCGCGAACTTTGCAAATGACCGCAGCACTCGGCCGTTCCCAAATACCTTCTTTGAATATAACAGTCCCGTAATTTACTTTTTTTCTTGTTAACTCGTGCGTCCCTAAGTTTCAGCGTTCGGCACGTGCTAGAGACAGCGACGCGGTTAATAAGGCGGCGCCATGTGTCTTTCCTCTGGCTCGTAAAACATGCTCTCCGCTCGACTTTCATGCGCACATCTTCGAAGAACGGGCCGCCGCTTCGCGTAGAATAGTGGGGGCACTCTTTTACGACGGCTTTTGCCGCACGAACCGTATAGAGCCGTGGCAGATGCCACTTGTCGAGGCGCGCTGGTAAGTTGTTGCTTATCGGGCCGGCGGCGCGTTTCGCGGCCACGGCGTTGATGCCGCCCGCGAACAGTCGTGTAAGGTTACTTGCTCGCGCCGCGAGGCGGGATCGCCCATGAATCGTGTCTGCTGTCCACCGACACCAACCACCGCCGGCACTGTTGGGCGCGGCTGCGGAACGTCTTTCGATACTCGGGGAGGGTGTATGCAGGCCTCTCTCGTGCATCTGGCTTCTGCCTATCTTAGCTAGGGGTCAACAGCCGCGTCTGGATAACGCCCGCGCCGTTGTCCTTGTACCAAGGTCCTCACGCGAAAGAAAGTGGCCTCCGCGAGGCATATTCCGCTATCTTGCGGATCCCTTATCACTGTCATACGGGAGTTGCCCAGCTGGACTAATTTTGGACTATAGCTGTTCTTCCTCGTGCGAGAGTATAGTACAACGGTGCCAATGTACATAAGTCGAGTTGGTATTTGTCGCGTCATTAATGCATGGACGACCTCGAGCGTTGCCCTTTCGGATCATGTTCCTGTTGCTCACTGCCGTCATCGCGCGTGGGAAAGCGTTCCAGGAAACCAAGGGCTGCATGAACGAATGAATGAAACTTGTGTTCCTTCGTCTTCCAAACTGAACTCACCATAGTGTTTTGATAGCTATTTAAACAGGGATCGCAACTTTAGAGCGCTATATTCATTGTCTTCATTGTCTTGCCTACCAAGCTCTACAGTAGGCCGTGTTCGCAAAACGGGCGAGAAGTTTTTAGCCTGCCTGGTGGAGGCAGGTGGGCAAAGCTGTTCTAGTCTAGTTTTTTATCTTACAGCTGCTGATACGTTTACACTGCGTTCCTTTTCTACATACCTTATGAGTAATCGCCGAAAGTGTATGGAAATAACAGGGTATCTGGACTGCTCAGTGTCTCTGGGCCTTGACCATTTAGCATTAGTCACAGAACCTTGCCGACACACGGGTGTTTCGCGTGATGCGTCACGTTTTTCCCCTGCTGTAGAAGAGAAAGCCCTACACATTTCTGAAAGCAGTTGACGACGAGTCACGGTCTGTTTAGAGCACTGCCACACCCTTCTTTCTGAGGCTGCACGCCTGGTATAGCATGCCATACCGTACCAGTGGAGCTGTCTAAACTGTTGCCGTAATATAGGCCCCCAGCCAGCGCCATGCCCGTCAATCCGGCGTCCAACGCGCTCTCTGTGGAACGGCTAGTGCCCTCGACGACATCGTCGTCGTCTCCCCTGACGTCGGCCAATGCCATAGTGACGAGCTCGCCTGCGTGCACGCTGTGTCCTCTCGCAGCCGTGCAGCGGGGCCGGGTGCCACCGTCGCAGCATGGTGGCCTGCCGGGTCAGATGTCGCTGAGCAACGGCGATGCGGCGGCCGCAGCGGCGCTCAACGGCCACTCGTACCTGTCCAGCTTCATCTCGCTGCTACTGCGCGCCGAGCCGTACCCCCCGAGCAGGTACGCGCAGTGCATGCAGCCGAACAACATCATGGGCATCGACAACATCTGCGAGCTGGCTGCCAGGTTGCTCTTCAGCGCTGTCGAGTGGGCCCGCAACATACCCTTCTTCCCGGACCTGCAGGTGAGTCATTGTCATCCGCGCAAGTGCACCGGCTTTGCAAGCGCTTACTTTGTATGATGTATTGTGCTGTAACGTCAATTGATGGAGCTGTTCTGCAATCTCGGGTTGCCGAGATTTGACAAGATGTTAGTGTTACTTCATTTCAGTGGAAGCAACTGGCCATTCAATTGGCGTGAGCAGTTGAGGAAGGTGAACGCATGTGAATGTGGCTACTTACGTTCACGTCATACGCGATTCTGTGTCTGATCTCCGTATGTTGTGTCTTGAAACGTCAGAGCGCGCTTGGTGGCTTCCACTACAGAGCTATGCGTCATACTGAGGCTTAGTACAACCATTCACACATGTTGTCTAGCGCTATCCTGGCACTGGGACATAACGTGAGTACTTCGAACACTGGCAGTAATGTTGTGGGATCAAACGAGTCTTTGCATCAAACTAGTAACGAGTAACTTACTGATAGATGGGTATTACACATGTCAATATAGAAATCCATACAGGCCCCAGTTTAATTCGTTGCCTTGTGGAAGCAACGGAGGCAAGAGAGAGAGAGAGAAAGGAAGGCCGGGAGGTTAACCAGATAGTGACATCCGGTTTGCTACCCAGCACTGGGGGTGGGGCGATAGGAGCAAGAAAGAGGGGGTAGATAAATAGGGGAAAAAACGCGCGTGCACACATGAGAGAACGAAAACACACACACAGGAAGGGCGTTCTGGCTACAACCGTTCAGAAAGGCCCATCGATCGCAAAAAGTGCAGTAGTGCTTTCAGGACAAGAGTTTTCATGCGATTTTGCCTTCTGCAGTTCTGTCAGAGCAGACTGTTTGATGTAAGCGCGTGAAATAAGTAAACCATAACTTCAACTTTGGGGCTTAGCATTCATGAGCAGGCTGGGTTTTGTCAGTTTTGCAGAAGAGTATCAAGCTTGTTCCCGATGTTCGTTATTACATGATTTTTCCAGCTTGCTCGGTTCAGCCTTCGTCACTGGCATGCCATAATATTGAGGCCCTTAAGATTTTGAGTAATGTTTATGTTGTCAATATTCAGCAAGCGAGAGACCTCGTTGATTCATCGTTCACTGCGAAAAACTTGACATGTATTAAAGGTCCTCCGACTGTCAATTCTGCAAATCCAGACAATACTATAGGTGGATATATAATTGTCATTGCCGAAAGTTTGTGGCTGCCAAATTCGAAAAATACTTTGTTCTGCCTTCTCGTCGCCGATATTCAAACTATAACAGATTGATAATAACATCAACGCTAGAATCCCAAAGGTCTATGTCATTATACTCTCAAAGTGGCATCGCACATTTTCGTCTGCTTCACACATACCTGCGCAGCAGGGACTGTTGGTCACCTGCGTTGGTGTTGTTCAGGAAATAAACAAGACTTCCTTTGTTTCCGTGACCCCTGTATGTTCGCCTATAGTCCTCGCATGCGTTCTATATTATCCTCTCAGCGGGTTTATCTTGCGTAATTGGTATGGGTGTCCGGTTAGCTAGAAATAACGACTATTGAGGTTCTAGTTCCTGTCTCTAATTTTTTGTGCTTTATATGAGGAAGCATTGCTAAGTAGCGGAAGCAAGGAACGAAGAGCAAGTTGTTTCTGCTGTCTCTCATATAAACCATAGAGTTTCTTGAAATTAACGAGGGGGGACTCTGGCTCGGCGATCATTCAGCGACCATCGGATTGATGGGTATAATACACAGATTTGCCTAGTCTTCGTACTTGCGGGTGGTGAATCGCACTAAGTGGCTTCGTGTATTGCTGTGTTTCGGTTGTGTTTCGAAGGAAAGAGTGAACCCTTTTGAACTTCGTGACCAGATTTGAACTGGTAAGCCTAGACGAATAAGGTGGTGAAGCGCAACCGCCGAACATTTGCCGATTTTTGTTTCGTGAGAACACAGCTCCCAGCCACACGAACACGCGCGTAGCCAGAACTACGAAGATTAGATAAATCCGTCTACTACCCATCATTCCCATGCTGGCAGAAGCTCTGTGCGTTTCAGCTCCCCTAAACACTGTAGCGCCAGAGTTCCCTCTAGTGTGTATTTAGGAAACTCTATGATATATACCGCCGACGCTACAATCGTCATCCTCTTTTTCTTCCATGCATTTCTTTGTGCATCACGTACTGAGTGTGTGGTGGGCAGAATGTCAAGCCGGCATGTGTCAATGAAGATGTCTCGCATGCAATATGCGAAAACCCGTTTTAGCAACTCATCTAAGCCATGGGAGAGTGAGTGTGTGTGTTTGTGTATGCATACATGTGCTTGTATACGCACGTGTCAAGACAGCCACGAAAGAAAGTCCGGCCACTGGCTAGCTGGGCAGCCCGCTTCGGTCCATCGTCGCAATTAGGAGCGTTTAGACCACGGGTGTCACTGTGATCGGCGTGCGTTCGCAGCGTTACGTGTCATCTCGATAAAGTAAATGGATGCCGTCCGTCCGACGCTCGCATACTGACATTTCGGAGTCTGTCGAGCAGCGTCCGCGACGTCTCAATCAGCTTGGCGTACAGCTTGTGGACGTACACATACACGTGTGTTCCCGGTGCAACGTCGGCTGAGGCTCACACGTCTCTGAGGCGGCGATCCGCAGACCGCGTTCCTCGACAGTTTTCTCGCGTGTTCGAGCGAGTGCCTATATAGCATGTCGTCTCCGCATACCTGGACGAATGACACGGAATAGAAAAAAGAAATAGAAGCCGTACGTGCTTGGCCACCTACCCGAATCTGCGCGCTCGTCGTGATGTGGCGTGCGCACTGCGCATGCGCGACGCCGCGCGTGTAACGACTAATTTCACGGCGTCCAATGGGCTCTTTTTCTGCCTCGTCCCGAGTTATCTCGGGAACGTGCAGCGCCAATCGGTAATCGGCGTGAACGCCAGTTCGTCCTCTTATTCAGCCGATTCGACTCGCACCCGCACAATTTGGCCGCTTCCCCTTTATAACATCGCGCCGTCGGCTGTGAGAGCCTTGTCTGCGTCTTTGAAGCCGAGAAAAGAAAAGAAAGATTTACGTACCAACGTGGCAAGAGAGAAGCGAAGCGACAAAACAGAACTGATTTGGCGACTTGTTTAGCTGGCAACACTCGCTAGTGCTTCGAGACGAGCAGTTCCTTTTTGGCCAGCCTTTTTTTCACGGAGCTTTCGACTTGCCTGCCAAGTCAGGATGACGTTGTTATTTAGGTGCGCTTCTCGTGTCTCCTTCGCCCCACGCGCCTTGGGGCACAGAAAAACAAGTCGGTGACTGTTGCAAAGGTAGCGCTCTTCTACGGTAAAGTTGTACTTGTTGTCGTTTTAATAACGCCACCAAATCGGTAAAAGCATCTACACCCTCCCCTCCCCCCGCCCTATAAAAAGAAACCTGTCACGAAATTGTGTCGCACGCGTGGAGCTCATTTTATGACCGTCATACCCGTTAGTTCTCATTTTATCATTTCAGTCACCGCTCGTTTAACTATAAGTGTTTAGTGAAGGGTAACTGCGTTCAAGCTGTTCCTACGCTCTCCAATGCCCGCAGTCCTGGTCTGTATACACCATGACGGTCTGTAGTAACATTACTACTGTGTGAAACGGGGTTTTCTCTGCAGTACAGATGCCAAAAGGTCTGTCTTCTTTCTGTTTATGCCGAGAAGGTCTGCCCCGTTAATTGCAGCTACTGAGACACTCGCTGCAACGAAACGTCATGCAGCGCGGTTTTGTGAGAGCGTTAGCACGAAAGTGCTTCGAAGGCACGTATAGGGCGAGCCTTACGAACACGCTAGTGTAGCTAAAACAATGCCTGCAGGACTCTTGATGAAAACTAGACAGAGAGAAAAAGAAAAAAAGAGAGAATAAGTTCAGCTCATGAGAGATGAGTTAATTTCACGCACAAGCAGCATTTTGGTTTTCGTTTTTTCAGTTCTCCAGAATAGCACGGTCTTCCAACAAAGCAATAAGGGAATCGTCGAACGTGGAACGCCTCAAAGCGAGGAGCTCAGTTCAATAAGCTTACTTAAATCCATTGTTGCGAAAGAGGGCTATATGCTCAGTGCACTATTGCGTCGGACAGTTTTCGGCATTGAGAAGGTCATCTGAGGCTCTGGGGGCAACACGAGAGGAGCTTATTTACCTTATGAATTCTATACAAAGTCGTACACAGTAAAAGCTGCTGTAGGGCTAATTTTTTTTGTGCAGTCATACACTTTAATGCAAGTGCCATCGCTTCTCGAAATCGAATGTCCGTGTGTAACTAGGTGACATGATCATACGATAAGGGAGGCTGAGCTTCACGTCGTTTCTGTAGAGAACTACAGTTCCCCCGTTACATTGGGTGTGGAACGCAGCTTAGGAAAATGTAGATAGTTTCTGAACATCTGACTGCGTAAAGAGCTGCGCGGAAAAGCCTTGCCCTTCTTGCGCGGTGCTCGCATTTGCAAGGGCGAGATGGCCTCGTTTGACATGCATTTGACATGTCGCAGGTGACGGACCAGGTGGCGCTCTTACGGTTGGTCTGGAGCGAGCTGTTCGTGCTGAACGCGTCGCAGTGCTCTATGCCGCTGCACGTGGCGCCCCTACTGGCGGCAGCGGGTCTTCACGCGTCGCCCATGGCGGCGGACCGCGTGGTGGCCTTCATGGACCACATCCGCATCTTCCAGGAGCAGGTCGAGAAGCTCAAGGCACTGCACGTGGACGCCGCCGAATACAGCTGCCTCAAGGCCATCGTGCTCTTCACCACCGGTCAGTCCTACTTGTCTTTTTCGCATTAGGCGCCCAGTTTGGCCATGATCGATGGCCAGGCATATGCTGCAGGATCTCTCCTTCACACATCCAGACACTTCCCCTGCCCTTTTCACCTAGCCTCACGCTCGTCACGCATGTCTTAAATGCTTTACAGACTCGTTACTGACATTCTGTATTTTATCGGTTGTATATTTAATTGGTTTATGCGAGGCGTCAATTGACCTTCTCAGATTTGAGGGCAACGTTGCGCGTTAATCTTACTTGTGTGAAGTTCCCAAGGAAGCTAAAAAAATGCTATATGTTGTTTGCGAGTAGTGACATAATGCTTGTCGTCCGACAGTGACACCGGGTCCACTGTCCATAAAACTCAGTTCTTCGTCAAAACCTGATAACCATCGTCCCTTTTGGGGGCAAAGCTGTGTCTGGCGCTGTTCAGCACCGTATTTTTTTTCCCGTATTTGGCAGTGACTGCGGCTGTTGGACGAATATGTCACCAGACGTTTTTCTGGAGGAGTTGATGGCAACACAATAAAATGGCTTCGCACACCCGCCCGTTCCGTCGTGGATTCTTGTCCACGCATAAGGGTGCGGAAACGTTGAAAAAAAAAATGGGAGTATGCCTTTGAAGCTTTATAATGGGCCAAATCAGCTTGCAAGCGTGCGTTCATATAAAAGCGATTCATGTTATGGGTCGCGCTGATAATGCTCCTAAGCTTTAGTGATGACGCGATGGCTATACATGATGAGCAAAGCGCTGGGATTTGGTCATTTTCATTGAGTGCGGTGATATTTCAGGAGGTAGCAGTCGAAATTCAGTCAGTTAACTGCAACTGTATCGATATCCATACATACACATGTTGTTTTTTATGTCGTGCGTGTTCCATGAGCATTAACAACACACCAATATCCTAAATTGTCATCGACTTGGACAAAATATTATATTATGACGTACAATGATCCGTACGTCTTCTACATGAAAACCATGCCTATGCTGGTCCGCCTTATAGGGCATCCTGCGCGTCACTTAATTTTCGTCCTGTCACAATTTTGAAATCTGCGCTGCCGGCAGAAACACCAAACTGCATGATTACGCCTTCCGCTGAAATCTTTTAAACTCCTATACAAACTACCAGTTCTATAATACACGCTCCAAACCCAAGGAAGGCGATGTTTACCGCAATCATCTTGTTTGCGATCGCCCCAAACAGAACCGCGCTCCGCAGAAGAAAAAGAAAAGGAAGGAGCATGCCTTTGTCTTTGGCGGACGTGTGCTGTTGACCCAACGGCAGATAAACAAGTTGGCCGCCTTGTAATCAACGGGCACGCATGCTGATACGTAACACGGCCCTGGCGTGATGATCCGATTTGTCCTTATCTCAAAATCTGTAGCGCGTTCCTCACGACGTTAGGTACCTGCGCGCGCCTCCGCTTACATAGGCGTCGTTCAGCGGCGCCTCTTTCTTCACCTGACGGGCGAAACTCGGCTCGTTATTCACGCGGACACATATTTCCATGGCGCTGCAGGGCCCTCGGCGGTGTGTCCGTGCCCCGGCGTTTACGCGAACGGCCTCTGCGCCTCTCCCTATCTTCTCGTTCTCAATGTAGGTCCAACGTAATAGTGGTCCGCTCATCTTTCGCGTAGAATGGACCACGCGCGCCCCTTCGGCCTCACTAGGCACGAACTCTTCGGAATCCGCTTTTCTGTCTCAGGCTAGCACGATACGAGACGTGTACGTAAAGGAGGCGAAGGAAAAAAAAAAGAAAGATACGCGAAGAAACCAAGTGATGGAGGTGAATAAAGAAAAGAAGATACGGGAAGAAACCAAGTGGTGAGCCTGCGCAGAAGCTGGTGGATGGGGGGATCTCAAAGTGAAGAATACCAAGGTTCCGCGTGGTACGCTTCATGTTACAAGAGAGAGGGAACAGTACAAGGTGTAGGAAATGGGAGTTCACAGCGGAGCCTCGCACAATCGGTTCAGATGATCGGACACGATAGCCGGGCGTCCGTCCTTTGCACAGTTACGCACTTCTTGCCCTTATTTCTTTTACTTCTTTTCGCGCCTTCGGACCTACATGTGGCGTCGTAATAACGATTGGTGCCCGAGGCGACTGCCCTTCTGTCTCGTTCGCACCTCAGGCAAGCTGCCGTACGAACGAACTACGGCGAAAAATATATGTATAGAATGAGAAAGAAACAAGACCATGCCGTATACTTCGCCAAGCCCGAAGACAGCTTCGGGCCTCGGGACACGGCGGCTCCTGCCGGGGCCCGCGGGGCTACACAGAGCGCGTGCGCGAATTTCGAAAGCGCGACGAATCTCTCGTCTCGTATATATATCGCCGTCGTATTCGTGTATATGCCTGCGCCTTCGCAAAGTAGCCGCCGCCGTCGGGGGTTGAGTGCTCCCGCGCCGCAGGCCGTCGATCTCTTCGATCGCCCGTTCGGTTCGGCGAGTCGTGGCCTGTTATAAAGCTGCCGCTCTGGACACTGCATATCGGTACTTGCGGAACCCCTCTCCTGTACAACTCCCGTCTCCCTCTTCATGTTCGCCGTCTAAGGAGACTGGTGCCGTCCGTTGTGCCTCCTCGGCAATTTCCGTGTTGCCCGTTCAGTCAGCTGCTGCTGCGTAGTCTTCGTGAAGAGGAAGCTATGCAGCGTATATCTACGCGTCCACACGAGAGGGCCGCGATGCGATCTATCGCACCTCTGTAGAGCAGCAAGGCCGAGAAAACTACGTGATCCCTTCTCTCCTCCGAGAAGCGCGCGCGTGTGTGTTCAAGTGTCTGAAAGGTGTTTCTTCTCTGTGCATCTGTCCGATACGCCGCCGCCCTGCCTCGTACACTGCGCCGTGTTGCGAGAAGGGGTCCAAGCTGTGTGTATTTTAACGATACTGATTGTTGGCCTAGCTGGCGCTTGCTTAATGACATGCTTTGGCCGCAAATAACACAAACACAAATTAAAGGAACACGCAACGAATGCACAAGCGGCATATGTGTATTTGCGGCATATTGAAAGCGAAAAATAACGATGGCAGTTCGCGAGATTCCCTGACGTTGCCTGACTCCCCCCCCCCCCCTTGCACACACCACACACACACACACACACACGCACAAACCAACAAGAAGAACGTGGGCTCTGTCCGCATCGTCGCGTCGCGTAGTTGAATGCCGTAATTGAACACTACGAAAGATATAGCAGCGCAAAACGCGATAAAAGAACCAGTTCTGCGCGCCTTTGTTTTCGTTGTTTCGATTCGCGTTGCGTAGAACAGCGTTCATGGTTCTCAAAAGAGAAACTACAACGTGAAACAGCGCATACTGTCCCGCCGTAAATCTTCATTAAAAGCATTATGGAAGGCGTGCCACAGATAGACGCTGGCTGAGTATTCGGACACTGAAACATGCAAATTTCTTATACTGACTGATCGATCGGCTTCTAAGGAAACCTTCCTTGGACATGCATGCGCTTCGCGATATTTCAGTCGCCGATCTCGCTCCAGGAGACGCCCCATTCGCAAACTAATAAATAAAATAAAAAATGGCTGTTAATCTTTCTCCACAGAAGTGCCCTACAGAAGTATACTCATTCCCTACTTGTGAGAACATTGAAACGCACCTCTTGCTTGATTAAATGGAGATGATTGGCCGAATGTCGTATGAGTTCCTTGCGAAAATTAGCTCAAGAATACGCATTGACTTCAAGAATGGATATTCGTTGGCCTATAGGAGTAGAAGAGTGGACGGCAAACTGACGATAAAGAAGAAAACACCACCGTCGTCTCTTTGACAGAGAATCGGCCTACTGAGCCTTGCTCCGGTATTCTGCCTCGACCAACCACTGGGCGAAACCACCTCGCGCTCGGTGTGGATTTCTTTCGACGACAGCCCGTGTGGCGCGAAGATCTCGTTTCGTTGTCTAACTATCTTCAGCCGGACCTTTGCGACCTACTTCCGGGTAAACGAGAAAATATCAGCGTTGCATCGCGCGGCGATGAAACGGAGCACGCAAAGATATGTCACTGCTTCTCGGGAACGGACTTGCGGGGTCAGGTGGATGCAACGGGAGGAGCGAGACGGAATCAGAAACGATGCCTCCCTTAATTTTTCTTTTCCCTTTATTTCCTGCTTGCCTCGTTCTGATATCTACCTCGACCCTTTATTTTTAGTTCGTTGCGTGATCCGTGGTGACGGAGTCGTTCGGACATAGACGCCGCGGACTGCCGCTCTATAAAAGAGCGGACGAATTGGCCAACACAACTGCTCACACCAAAGAATGCCTGCTCCGCGGAAATAGGTAGAATAAAGAAAAAAAAAACACTGGAAGGGAATAAAGTAGGAATGAATGTAAGCGAAGAATAGCAGTCTCGAAGGGTGTATAGCGAAAGAAAGGCTTCTTCTTGTGTAGCTCGGCTGGTCAGCGATTGGAGACGGTCCAGCGGATATCGGAACGGGGTCAGCTAGGTTTATTTTCTTTTTCTTTTTTTATGCCGGCGGAGGCATCACTGACCTGCTTCGTCCCTACGAAAGCCTCCTCTGCTCTCCGTGTGTCCAGCAGCGACGGGCGGAGAGCAAACCGCCGAAGCCGCGAGGGTAGGACCAGTTTGGGCACTGGACTGGTTCTGCAGCTATACGGAGAGGGGAAGGGGGAGAGAGGAGCGCGCACCACGCGCCGTAACGACGACCGCGAGATGCGACGCTGTGCGAAATGGCACGCGGACTTGCCTAAAAGAATGGAAATGGCCGGGAGGCGTCGCCTCGAGTGATGCTCGTCTGATCATCTCACCATCTGCCGGATAAGCATGGATTACTTATATGCAGCGGAAATAGATCGAAGCAATCTGACTTTGAGTCATGTTCTTTGCATGCGCGGAGGAAGAGTTTCGCGTGAAGTGTTGGGTGAACGAGTACAGAGTAAAGAAAAAAATAGGGAGGAGGGTGTGAGCGGGTGATCTGATTTACTATTTTAGGGGAAGTCCTGAGTTGGTGTGTATATGACA